TGCAAAGCGGGCCCCGAGCCTCCGCTTGGTTTCCCCGATGTAGAGGAGGCCACAACGGGTACAGCGGATGCAGTATACCACATTGGCAGATGTGCAGGTGAACATCTGCTTGATGTGGAATGTCTTCTTGGGGCCTGGGATGGGGGTGAGGGAGGAGGTATGGGGGCAGGTGTAGCACTTCCTGCAGTTGCAGGGAAAAGCGCCGGGTGTGGTGGGGCTGGAGGGTGTGTGGAGCAGACAAGGGAGTCCCGGAGAGAGTGGTCCCTCCGGAAAGCAGATAAGGGAGCTCGGTTCGCAATAAACAACTGCACCTCCCAGTCGCGAACCATTTCAACTCCCCGTCCCATTCCTCAGACGACATGTCCATCCTGGGCCTCCTGCAGTGCCACAACAATGCCACCCGAAGGTTGCAGGAACAGCAACTCCTATTCCGCTTGGGAACCCTGCAGCCCAATGGTATCAATGTGGATTTCACAAGCTTCAAAATCTCCCCTCCCCCTACCGCATCCCAAAACCAGTCCAGCTCGTCCCCGCCTCCCTAACCTGTTCTTCCTCCCACCTATCCCCTCCTCCCACCTCAAGCCGCACCTCCATCTCCTACCTACTAACCTCATCCCGTCCCCATGACCTGTCCGTCCTCCCTGGACTGACCTATCCCCTCCCTAACTCCCCACCTACACTCACCTTTACTGGCTCCATCCCCGGCTCTTTGACCTGTTTGTTTCCTCTCCACCTATCCTCTCCTCTATCCATCTTCTATCCGCCTCCCCCTCTCTCCCTATTTATTTCAGAACCCCCTTCCCCTCCCCCATTTCTGATGAAGGGTCTGGGCCCGAAACGTCAACCTTTCTGCTCCTATGATGCTGCCTAGCCTGCTGTGTTCATCCAGCCCTGCACCTTGTTGTCTCGGATTCTCCAGCATCTGCAGTTCCTACTACCTCTGTTACATAATCTTTGTTGTTTCTCTTCTTACTAATTTTGTGTCTACTCCCCTCTGCTTGTACAGGTACCCAATTGCTTCTCACAAAATTGCCTCAAAGCAGTTATTTATATATAGCTATCAGCAAATCGTCCAATGTAATAGACTATTGTAGTAGAGTCTTATGGCTGTCCCTATTTCATGTTCCATACATAAAGGAACATTAACAGCTTAGTTTTTCCCTCAAGCCAGCTTTGCCGTTTGTTAAAATCATGTGTGTTCTGTATTTTAACACCATTGACATGCATTGGCTCCAGACTGTCTTGTATGCCAGTCTAGCAAAACTCTATCTATTCCAGATTTAAAGCGTCCAGCTGAAGAGGGCACAGACAAAATAAACAGCAGCACAAAAAGATTGGAAGCATAACTTGTATCGCACACATGCCATAAACTTCATCCTTCAGTTCCTTTAAAACATCCTTTTTCATACTTAAATTAGGAAACACATTTTCACACAAAAGAGAATAACTATTGGAACTCTCTCCCACTGAAATTAGGTTCCATTGGCAGATTAATTGTGGTGCTGACTTCTGCTTTACAACAGAGATGTTATCAATTAAGTATGAAAATGATTTGGTTTTAATTTTGAAGTTCTGTCTCCTAGTCCTACGTTGTCCGAAACCGAGCTAATAAATTTTCTATTTATTCTAATTCCTTTCAAACTCCTAAAAACCTCAAGCAAACCTCGATGTCATCAAATTGGCGGCAGAGTAGGGCTCCTGAGCCAGGGCTTGTCTCCTCTGACCGCTTTTCTTTTCACTTATGCTGAGCCCAGAGGCATCGGCTGCAGCGAGGAGCCCCAGTGTGGATCCCGTGGCGGCAGTGAGTGGGCCCAGTGCGGATCTCGTGGCGGCAGTGAGTGGGCGCAGTGTGGATCTCGTGGCGGCAGTGAAGGGGCCCAGCGCGATTGGTTGGGTGCGGTGCTGATAGCAGCAAAGTAGTGGCAGAAAGGCATCACACTGCCATTGACGAGGTGGGCCCAGTAGCGAGAAATGCAATACTGACATTGGCGAAGGAAAATCGGCCCAACGATGAAAGATGGTGCCTGAAGAGTGGCGACTTCAATGCAGACGGTGGCAAGGCGGTGGAGGAGGGATGGTGACGCTGGCTCAGGACTGATGGATTCTGTTTAAGCTATATTTGTCTGTTGTATTTTCTTACTCTTGAAACTTTTCGAAATAGCAACAGTGGAAAAGCTTTTCACTGTAATTTACAGTTTTTCTCACCTGCAAAATACACATAACAACAAAAAATAATTCCACATCATCCATTCATTCAAACCACCAGTTTGTCTTTTGTGCTCCAGGGAATACAAGCATAGTTTATGCAGTCTCTCCTCATTATCTTATTTTAGGATTCTGGTGCTTCCAAATTCGCTATCTCCACCTCCTAAAACAAAAGAGGCCAGCAGACACATGGAAACATCAGCACACATTATCCTCCAAGTCACACAACATCATGATTTGGTAAAGTGTTGCCATTCCTTTACTATCACCGGCTCAAAATTTTGGAACACCCTTCCTAAAAATAGTGTGTGTGCGGATTCATAAATCTTCTTGAGGGCAACAAGGGGTAGGTAATAAATTCTTGCTTCCCAGTTGCACCCTTGACCCACGAACAGTTTTTAAAAAGGTGTGTACTGTAATACTTCAAGAATACACTGCCATCAGAGGTCATTGGATCACAAGCAGGAATGAGAGAGCTAATTTTTTCTTCTTTAATCTCAGGATGGTGAGCCCATAACAGAATTGCTGATGCTAATATTAATGCAAACCAGATAGCGAATCTGTTCTAACAAGGATTCACTGAACTTGAAATGTTAACTCTGTTTCTGTCTCTTCAGATGCTGCTAAACCTGCTGACTTTCTCATGCATTTTCTGTTTTTGATGTAGTGAATCTATGGCCTGACTTGTTTTGTGTAGCCTAGCAACTTGCTGTGTAAATTTGTAAAGCTGAACCAGAAGTCAATCTTTTAAACATTTATGTTTTTGTTTAATTTTAGAAAACTGTAATTTTTCTTCATTCTGTATGTATTATGCATCAAAGAAATATAGTCTAGCTTTACTGAATTTATGAAAAACTACAATCGCAGTAAAATTTATCCTTATTTTTGTAGGTGGTTAAAGTGGAACCTATAGATGTGGTATACTTGGATTTCCAAAAGGCATTTGAACAAAGTAGCAAGTCCAAAGGTTGCTAATACAAGTTAAGAGCTCAGGGTGTATGGTTTAATATATTAACATGAGAAAGGTTGATAGCTAACAGGAAGAACGCACTAGGGATTAATGAGTCATTTTCTCATTTGTGAGGTGTTACTAGTGGAATGCCACAAGCATCAGGGATTAAACTTTTGCAATGTATGTCAATGACTTTGGTGAATGCACCAAGTGTATGTTAGC